CAGCCTCCCAAATAGCTGGGACTACAGGCATGCGCCACCACACCTGGCCAATCATTCTATTTGGATCTCATGCTCTAGAGCCTACACTGCCACGCTTTACTTTCTGTAATTGACATCAGAAAGCTATGAGATCATGTCCACGTTCAAAATGTAGAAAATGATAACACCGTTTTTCGAACGACGCAAGCCCTCTCGATGATTCTTCTCTATCACCCTGCCATCAAGCTGAGAATCACTGCCTGCAAAGCACTGCCTTTGACTATTTTTTTTAAACCTAACAAACGTGAAGGTGTCTGCTGGGTCTGTCAGTCAAGTCGGCTGCTGTCATTTACCCAGTAGCTGGAAGGCCCTCTGAGGTGGGCCAAGGAGCCCACACTCCCACCTAACCTGCCCATAAAGAGGGCAGGCAGCCATCTGACCAGGAGACCTGTCCACGGGCTGGACAAGGCCAGGCTCATCGCTGGGGAATTTAATCTCTGAGAGAGGGAAGTCCTGGTGGCTGTAAGCACAGGGTGGGGCCAGAGTGGCCAAAGTGAGTCGGTCACAAGATGAACAGGTAGTGGATAGTGGCGGGGAGGGCAGGATGGTGGGAGGACATATATTCAAATTTGTTTGAATATGGGCTAGAAACTAACATCAGTGGTTCCACATTAGGAGAGGACTGGGCGGATTGGGGGCAGGGATGGGAGAGCCGCTTTCCATTCGATACCTTATTGTACATTTTGATTTTTGAACCATATGATGTGTGTCCTATCAAAAAGAATAAATGAAAATTTCCACTCAACAGAGAACACTTTTTTAATCCTGTGCTGCTGCTTTTTGTGATAAGCCTCTTGGCACTCTCTTATTTAGAACAACCACAAAATACAACTATCTAAATGTTGGGAGAAGAGTATAATAAATTGGGGAGATTTGGGAGGAAAGCACATAATTATGGAAGTTTCCCCCAATGATAAAATGAAATTCAGTGGAAGCCATTTCAAACATTTAGAAACTTAACCAGAGGAAAAGAAAAGTGACTACTATCCCTTCCACCAAGAAACAGAGGGGATTTTTACACACAGTTGGGGGAATGTTTAAATACAATTTCTATCATTCTAATTCAACACAAGAGCATTCTCACGGTGTCAGAACACTTAAACATTTCTAATGACTTTTTATGTTCCACTATAGAGATACCCCATAATAGTCTTAACTATTTCCCTATTGTGGGGCATTTAGATTGTTTTCATTTCTGATTCTTCCAAATGTTATAATGAGTACTTGTTCATATTTCTGTCAACATTTCAGATTTCCTTAGGAGAATTTCTGAGAAGTAAATGTCTGAGTCAGAGGGTATGGATATTTGCACAGTCTGTGAAACAGACCACCCAACTGCTTTCCTAGAAGTGTGCATGGATTCCTAGCTCTACAAGCAGGCAGGAGAATGCCAGCTTCATTCCCCTGACAGCATTAGCTAGTCTTATTTTACCAGCTTCATCAGTCACTATAGTGCACAACTTTTATTTGTCGCTGGTTTTATAATAATAGGAATCCTTTACTATTTCTCCATTAAATTTACTGTTGACTACGGGTTTGTAAAAGATATCCTTTCTGTTATTATGAGATTGTGAGCACCAGGATTTAGATACTGAGCAGAGTTTCTCTCTTTTGTTCAATCAATATGATTTGTTAATTAATTTAATTCCTGGGATAAACACACTACCCAGTCATAATCAATTATTCTTTAATGCTGTTAAATTTGACATTCTAATATTTTATTTAAGATTTCCACATCCTCATTTTTAACTAACGTTAGTCTATAGTTTGGGTTTTTATTATTTGTAGTGTGTGCTTTTGTTAAGTTTCTAATGTCTAGGTCAACCTAGCTTCTCATTTTAGCCTATGTTCTAGGTATCAATTAGCCCCGCACAGAGTAAATACACATTACCTGTTTCAACTCCAACATATACAAAGCACCTACTATGGGCAAGGCATTATGCAAGACGCCATAGAGACACAAATTTCCAGACCTCTGAGATTCTAAGTTAGTAAGTCTGGTATCAGGCCAGGGAAAGAATTAATCGAAAAAGTAGCATTTCAACTGGGATTTGTAGGAAGTACCTTGAGGAGAGCATGCCATGGGCATTCAGAGAGAAAAAATACCCCAAGTCAAAAATACCCCAAGTCAACACGTCGTGTGCAAGTGCAAGGCAATTCAGGAACACGCATATGCTATGTTTGGCTGGAATGCCAGCTATGAGGAATAAAGAGGGCACGCGGCTTCGGATCATGAAAGTCCACAACTGCCATGCTAAAGAGTCTGCCCAAGATCAGAAAGAGAACAGGAAGGTGTAGGAGTCATAGAGTGATATTATTGTACTTTAAGAAGAGGTGGACACCAACGAAGAGTCTGCAAGGGTACAAGGAACACGGCAGCACAGCCAGAACAGCGGCAACACATGGGAAACATGTTGCAAAGATACCTTCTCTGACCACTGAGATTTATTGACGTGGACAAATTATCGTTTGAGGTTGAACCCTCAAGAAGGATGAAAACAAGTGGAGCAGGGGGTGTATACGTGCGTGTGTCCCTTTGCTTGGCCTTCTAGATCTCATTTCCAACACTGATCTGACTTCCCACATCCAACAGGGTCCACGTGAATTTCCTCTAGAATCAACAGTACCAGCATTTTGTCAGCCACAAAACTCCAACCCTCACTAGGCTGTGGGCCCCACGAGGGCAAAGATTTTATCTGTTCATTGAAGAATCCCCAAGTCTAGATTGGGACCTGGCAAGTAAGATAGGACTCAATAGGTATTTGCCGAAGGAATGATTCTGGACTATCCAGTCAGTAAATCCTGGCGATTCTTTCCACAAAGCCGCTCTACCAGCCAGCTCTTTCTACCGTGACGCCTATGCCAGCCCAGCTCCTTAACTCGCAGACCAAGGATGCCCAACACTCAGCCATGTGCCCTGCCTGGCGTCTTTTCTCCCCTCTGATCGCCCAAGCTCCCTGGCCAGTTGAACCTCCAGAAAGCACCCATTCCAGCCTGCAGGAAGGAACACGGGATTTGCAGGTGTCCCAGTTGATGCATATTACCTTATTGGTTCCTTATTGCCTTCAGGATTAATTTTGACACTGACACTCCTGCACTTCCACAAATCCGCACCAGTCTCCCTTACTTCCCTATAATCCCTACAGGAGCCATGTTGCCTCAGCCAAGCTACTACTCACTACTTTATGACCAAATCTTGGACATTCTAGCCTAGTGTATGCCTCCCCTTCCTTTCTATGATGTATCCAAGCCTTTGACAATCTTCCCTTCTTACCTCTAACGCACAATATTTTTTCCTGACTCTGAATTCT